GAGGGAGGGAGGCAGGGAGGCAGGGAGGCAGGAAGGGAGGGAGGGAGGAAAGCAACTTCTCAAGCTGTGGAAAAGCCGCCCTTCCCCAGTTTTCAGAGGACATACAATTCCCCCTCAGACATGAGTGGGCCAGCGGTGTGTTGATGCTGAAGGCCCTATAGCTTGTCTCAAATAAGAAGTTAGGAGCCTCGGCGCAGGCCGGCTGCAGGCTCCCTGGCCTCCCCCCGGCCCCACCGTGCCGCAGAGGTCCTCGTGCTCAGAGAGACTCGGGCCCCGGCGCACAGGGCGCTCGCAGCCACCGCCTGCTGCCTGCTACGGCCACGGTGTGAAATCTCTGTTGGGTTCGTCCAGGGGTCAGGCTCATCCTCCGGGACTGACCCTCGGTGGGGGACCTTCATCGCCTGCCAGGCCCCTGGCTCGTCCTCGGCCGCTCCACACAGTGGCCGGAGGCGGCTGGCTGAACGCTGCTCGCCCAGTCCTCCGGCCTCAGCTGGTCAGAGCCGCGGGAGAGGGCTGGGCTGGCCTGTGCCATCTGCCGTGGTGCCACTGGCCACACGAGCACTGGAAGAATGTCCGGGGCAACTGAGAACCTAGACTTTTAGCTTCCTTTTACTTAAATTAAGTGACTGATACTTGACTCGGTTGTTGAAAAGTTATTAAGTACGTTTAAATATGTTTGGAACAGCTTAGGTAACTGAATCGACTGTTCAACTGGTATTTTCATTGGGGTTACATGACATGTGTCACTTGGGAAGAATTGTCATAGTTAAGTATTGAGTCCTCAGCCTGTAAACATGGTGTATAGATTCACTTATTTAAATCTTTGATCTTAATAACATTTTCTATTTTCCTGTATAGAGGCCTCAAACAACTCTCATTAGGTTTCTTCCTACGATGTGGAAATTTACTTACTGCAGCTAAAGGAGTTTTATCAGCACCAACCAGCATGCAGGAAGCAGTGGAAGAGCTTTGATTACTCAACAACCTCACCAGCACTTGGTATTGTTGGCGTTTTTTATTTTAACCATTCTGATGGGTATATAGTGGTATTGGATTTGGTTAGATTTGTGTTTTTCATATGAGTAATAAGCTCAGCCCTTGTTCATGTGTTTGTAATTGCATATTTGTTATGACGTAACTGTGGGTCTCTCTCCTGTCCTCCTGGACGTAACCGTGAGAGTCTCTCACGTTGTCCAGAGGCCAGTTCCCGTTTGCAGAAAGACACCGCACTTTTATTATAGTCGGCATACAATGTTACATTAGTTTCAATTGTGCAATATAGTGATTCGATCACCACACTAAGTCTGTAACCATTTCTCATCTTGCAAACTTATCAATATTATTGACTATATTCCCCCTTCCCCTGTCCTGCCACCTCCCCCCACAATAACTAAGATATGAAGCAATCTGGTACCCTTGGATAGATGATATTATTCAGCTGTATAAAAGAATGCTGCCATTTAGGACAACATGGATGCACCGAGAGGGCCTTATCGGAAGTGAAATAAGTCCAATAAGAGAAAGACAAATATTGTAGGATTTCACTTATATGTGGAATCTAAAAAAAACCAAAATAAACACATCCGATAATTTTAACAGTGAAAGTTTATTGTTAAAGGGTGGCTGAGAACAGAAAGAAGGAAAAGAGAACTCTGAGGCGTATCTCATTGACAACTACAGGAAGCAGCCACCCCAGGGCCCAGGGAGAAGCAACCAGGAAAAAATCTGATTTAAAAACAGGCCTCTCCCTCCAAAAAAAAAAAAAAAA